TAAGGGCACTGCTTCCTTTCTTGGTTAGCCCATAGCATCCTCCATTTTCTTTCGTACAGCACGTATGCCCAGTATAAACTGTGAGTGAAGACTCAGCCTAGCAGTTTCACTGAGGTATTGAAGTAGGTCCTAATTGGGTTTGTCTTTCCTCACCAAGAACTCAGCTCTGGCCACCTAAGCTTGCATATACCGTTGGCGTTCTGCTGAGAATCATGTCCATGTCTTTCCCCAATGGTAAATTCTGATCAATTTTCACATTAACTTATGGTGGATAGGCTTGCCCGGACATACTTGAATGTGCTTTGTTTCCAGATGTTTCTGCAGTACCTACATGGGTGATTTAACAAAACCTGGTATAATGTCTTGTTATAGTGCGGCATAAAAATTGCTACTCCACTGTGTTCTATAAGCACATTTCTGCCTCGGTGCCTTTGTCCTTACAGTTCCCTTGGCTTGTAATGCTCTTCCATAGGTTTTTCCAGGGCTTGCTCCTTTACTTCATTCAGGTACCTTGAATTATATATGTGTCTTTTTATTTCTGGGGCCAGATGATACCGTTGTTTTAAACATACCATAATAATCCTGGTTGTTTATATTTATTTTTTTAAAGATATAATAATACATTTTAATTGAAAATTTATAGTTGAATGGAATAAATTCCTGTCTACAGCATTATTTTATTTCATATATAAGAAATGTTACTCTTTATATATATTTAGGCTAACCCCAAGTTTTTCTATCTGCATGTGGAAGGTTATTCAGAATTCTTTCAGAAACTGAATGAATTGAATTTTCTTTGAAAAATTAGCACTATAAAATTTCTGTAAAAATTTATAGCTGTGTTTGAAATGACAGCAAATTCTATGATAAAGAGAACATATTTCATTAAAGATACTTGTTTTGTATCTGCTATATGAAAGTTACTTGATTAGCTAGGTGCTGTGTAGGTCCAAAGAAATTTATGATATCTCTGCCCTTTATTTTACAATAAATTGGTGAAAGTAATGAAAACAGTAATGACAATAATTAACATTTATTGAGTGCTTAATATGTCAAGCATTGTTTTAAGTGTTTTATTTAAAGGTACGGATATGTGAACAGAAAGAGCAAATTAAAACAGAAATCTCGGAATCTGGGAGTTGTAAAGGATCCTGTCTAACCTTATGAACCTGGTGGGAGTGCTTCTCGAATGCTTTTGGCAGGTATTCCTACAGGATCTCCATAGAGATTCACAAGAACGGCTCTGAGCTCCTGAAGGAGAAGCTGCACAAAACCCAGAAGGAGCTGCAGCTGAAGGATGAAGACTGTGATCAGCTGTTCCTAATGCAGGAGCACACAGGAGCTGGAGGAGCCAACAGCCAGTCTGTTTGAGGAAGCCCACAAGATGGTGTGGGAAGCCAACATTAAGTAGACAATGTTAGCAAAGCAGCTGAATGAGGAGGCATGGGGAAAGATAGGCATGCTGCAGGCAGAGGTGACAGCCTTGAAGACACTGGTCATCATGTCCAAACCCACCTCTCCCAATTGCAAGCTCCACCTGCACCTGCTGAGCCCCACTAAGGGTGGGCCCTACAAGGGCCCACCTCCAGCCTAAATGCACCAGCAGTGCCCTCTCCTTGGCCTTGTGTCCCACTGTGAGACATTCCCTTACCTTGGGCAAGGAGGTGGATGTGACACTATTGACAGAGTTCCAAGCCTGGAAGGAATTACCTACCCTGGACAAGACCTGTTACTTGCTGCAGAGGGTGTAGTGGGAGGATATGGGCCCCTGCCTGGACTTCGCAGTACAGAATCTCTGCCACAGGTGTAGGTCTCTGTGGGGGACAACACACTTATCATGAAGACTGTGTCTCTGCAGAAGTTGCCTGCAGTGAGGGTAACTGTGTTCAATTGTGGCAGTGCCAATATATGTATCTTGAGCAATTTGGCCCACGCCTGCTACCACCACCACATCTGGCTTTGTGACTTCAAGAACCATTACCACATCTCACTGCCTTCTCAGGCCAGGACCACTGCAGTGTGCAACTTTTTCATCCATATCTGCTACATCCACAAGGCCTGGTACAACAGGATTTGAAGCCAGTGTTCTGGGAGATCACAAAGCTGTGAAAAGAGAAACAGTTGGCCAAACTCAGTTACGCCTAGAAGCCTAGGGTGTTATGTGGGCCTAGATGCGGGTTTCCCAGGATGGACAGACAAATATAAAGATAAGGATCCTGGAGGTAGCCCCAAGCTAGAAGCCAAACATCTGCCCCAGGAGGGAACAAATGGCTGAAACAACACCGAGGGACAGTACTGAGCTGGTACTAAATATCTGTTCCAGGACAAATGGAGGAACAGACAGTTCTGTACCTCATGAAATGACCTTTCTTTCACACTGAGTTCTGCAACTCACAGGTGGACTTTCAAGGAAATACCAAAGACCAGGGAGTTCAGAGCCTGAAAAACACTTTCAATGGCAGCTTTTCTTGAGGCAGCTGTGAACATCTATCATTGTTAGTATAGTTCTTATCACTAATTGTGCCCTTTGCATCTCCCTAGCTGTTTTGTCTAATTCTTCTGTTATGTTATAGGCCTTCCTATACTTGAAAATAGTAGTATATCTTCTAGGGGGAAGTCCTGACACCCTGTGTCAAGGTCAACCCTAATGGTTGATCCTGAACCAGTTATGGCAGAAGAGTGATGGCAGAAGTAGTGTTCAGTCTGTTTCTATCAGGCTGTCTTTCTAAGTCTTCTGGGAGCTCCTTGAGGGCAGAAGCTCTTCTTCCCTTATTGCTGATTTTATTCCTAGCATCTTGCATTGAGTTACATAAACGAATGAAAGTAAATAATACTAGTCTAGGGATAATACATCAAGCTTAGTGTGGATAAGACTAGATTTAAAAGGTTCTTATACTGTACTTTATCATCGTTATTCTGTCTACCTCTTTACCTCTGCCCTATCACAACTGTGCTGTCTCTAAAGCATTAAAACTTCAACTTCAGTGGCATTTATTTAAAAAAGTAAATATTCAGTGGCATTTATTTTTAAAAATATTATCTTTGAATGATGAAAACACTTAATCAGCATTATGGGCAGAATTCAGCATCCAGAATAAGACTGGGGTAAAGGGAGGGCTGGGGAAGCTTAAAGGGGAGTGGGGAATGACTTCAGCCACAAAGACCAGGGTGTTTGCATGGACTGTGACAGGAATACCCAGTATATTTTATTCTTTTTATCACTGTAAAAGGGAATTATGAGGAGTGAGAGGAGATATATTCTTGAATTCTGGATGGAGATGACAAATTGAAGTCCTAATAACCAATCTGAAGAAGTAATTATAAAATTTACCATGGTGCCATGGGGCACATACATATTTTATATGTCCATGTATCATGCTACTCTAGTTAGATCTTAGATTCCCTAAGCAAGAAGACTGAGTTCATCTTTGTACTCCCATTGTGCCTCTTTGTGACATCTACATAATAGATGGTCAATAAGCAGTGAATTAAATGGAATAGAGGACTTAGTCCTAGATATCACAAAAGGGTATAATTCCTGACCTGGTGCTGTGGCTCATGCCTGTAATCCCAGCACTTTGGGAGGATCACTTGAGGTCAGGAGTTCGAAACCAGCCTGACTAACATGGTGAAACTCCATCTCTACTAAAAATGCAAAAATTTACTGGGTGTCATGGAGGGCACCTGCAATCCCAGCTGCTCCAGAGGCTGAGGCATGAGAATCACTTGAACCTGGGAGGAGGAGTTTGCAGTGAACTGAGATTATAGCACTGCACTCCAGCCTGGACGATAGAGTGAGACCCTGTCTCAAAAAAAAAAGTGTATAAATTCCTTTAAAGACACCAAATGTAATAATCTGGGAAGTTATATAAGAATGCATGGTTTTATTTAGTTAAGTACCTAGTGAACTGTAGACATAGTAAATCTCTATATAAATTCAGGAAGACACAATGTTTTAAGTCAGTTAAGATTAATATCTAGTGTTCCAGTACTAACTGGCTGGTAACACTGTTTCTCCCATAGGGCTGTTGGGGTTTAAATGAGAAAGTGAACTTAAAGTGCATAAAATGTGGCTGGTGCAGATTGAGCTCCTATGGATATTAGAGAGATCAAGATTTGAGCAGATGAGATTAAAACCAAGTCCTGATGAAGAGGCAGGATTTAGGCAGAAGGATATGAACAATTCTAGCACTGGCATTTAATTGCTTTTGATCTTTGGCAAGTCTCTGAACCTTTCTGTGCTTCATTTTGCTTTGTAAAAAAAGGGGCTTTTGCAATCACAGTGTTTGGTACACAGTTTGTGCCCAACAAATAATAGCTGTTCTTATCATAGATGTTGTTATTACCACCTCTCTTATCATCATTGTCACGACTGTTGTCATCATTTTCGGGGTAGAGAATAGCTAGAAATTGGCCATCTTCGAGCAGTGGAGCTGAGGTCTCAGGGAGTAAAGGGAAACAAGATTTATATTTATAAAAGAGTCTGACTGCAAAATTTCTCTTCAAATGAAAGAACTATTAGAAAAATAGAAAACTTAGATCATGATTACAGTGATTTATGCTGATTACAGTATCTAAGATATTGAATTTTATATAGGATAAATTTTATTTCACTTTAGTATTTTGAAATGATGCTAATGATAACAAATTGTATTCTTGCAATGGATGTTTCTTTTTAAATACAGGCCTTTTTAAAGGACCCAAGTTTGGGTGTTTTTTATTGTACTGAAACCAATTGTAAGATATATAATGAAAAGGACCATACTTTACAGTTTGCTACTATAACCACCTACCTTTGGAATTAGATTTGAAAGTGTTAAGTGATTGATGCAGGGAGCAATGAAGCAGTAAAAGTATTTTTATAAAGCCAGTAGAACCATATCTATGTTACAAAAATGAAATCTGTGAACTTTTAAAGTCAGGGTTAGTGGCAGTTCATGTAGCTTTATCTAGTAATTCTGTGTTACTAAGTATTTGTCCTTAATATTTTTTTCTCTTAGAACGATATCGCATTCAGAGTGAACAATTTGAAGATCTTTGGCTCATAACCAGTGAGCTTATCCTTCGCCTTCAAGAATATTTCGAAAAACAGGGAGTCAAAGATTTTGCATGTTCTTTTTCTGGATCTATGCCCCTTCAAGAATATTTTGAGTTGATTGATGATCATTTTGAGGTATGTATAATGATAACCCACATAATCTATAATCCTTAAATATATGAAAGAGAAACAGATGCTATAGAAGAATTCTGTATACATACCATCAGGCTGTACCCTTTTAGTTGTTATTCTTATGTGGATGTTGGATTTCGTGAATCCATTCCTGCCCACTTGCCCAGTTTGTGATCAGTTACAGACATTTACAGAGTGGCTGCCTGGAGCTAACCATGTCGTCTGGCCCTGGAACAGAGCTGATTTAATTCTCCCACATGGAGACTTAACCCTTGACCCCAATAATCCAGTGTTAAAACTGTTTGAGCTTATCAGCAGCCATTTGGCTAACTAATTCTAGCAGGCCATAAATGAGGTGTGATTATAAAGTAAAGTGATTTTTCTTTTTCTTTTTTAACAAGCATACCAGAACTTCTGCATCTGAATGAGGGTTAACACTTAAAATATTTCCCAGTATCTGGCACAGTGGGTGCTTAGTAAATACTGAATGATTAAATATATGAATAAATGAGATCTAACAGCTTTGTTGCTCTGAACGTTTTGCATTTCTTCTTTGGAAGTGCCTTCAGAGCCTATGTTAGATTCTATTGAGTATCTCAATGGTGACATGTCTTCATCCTTTGAAGATTGATTTGATGTTTGAGACTAGCCAAATACTTGTTTTGTGAATGGATTTGACAGTGACAGTCATTGTTTTTTAAAAGTCCTGTGTATTAAAATAAGTGGAGCATCAGGCTCCACTTATATAGTCTATAAACAGACTCTATAGACAATACAAAAGAGGAATTTTGAGAGAATTTCGAACATTATTGAAGTAAGCATTGGTTCTCGGGGACTACATTTCAGTTTAGGAGTGTGCGTGTGTGTGTATGTATGTGTGTGTGTGTGTGTGTGTGTGTGTGTGTGTGAAAGAGAGAGAGAGAAGGAAAAAGAGAATTACTAGTCATATAATTTGTCAGTCAACCATTGAACATTCTAATAGCACTGACTTTGAGCTATGGAGACTTCTTTTAATGCAGTGTGAACATAAAGAGAAAATTTCAGGTGTACACAATCAAATTATGATTAATTATGTCATAATTTCTCATCTATGATGAGGATCTGTGATGAAAATATTTTCTAGGGACTCATGCCTTTGATCAAATTGTAGCATGAAAATTGACAGTGTGCGAGAGTATGTTTAGGTATCATAAGGGTTGAGAATCTTTGCAATTCTCTGGGATACATTTTAAGAAATTCTTGCTTCAGTGTTGGAAACTGAATTCTAGTGATTTGTGAAAGAGTCCATAGAAAGACTACACTAATTACATATTTGTAATATTTGAAATAGAGAATATTAGCTACTATTGACTAATAATAGATTCTGTTGACTTATTGACTAATAAGTTTGACATACAAGTTTCCCTTCATACTTTCTGGCTAGCAAGTAACTCCCTGGAGTTTCTACTTCAGGGGTACGTCTTTTCTGAGGAAGAACTTAGAGAATTTGGTAAAGGACAAGCACTTTCATTTATTATACACATAAATTAAGGGGGGCATGTTTATGCTTCCTTTGCTCTGTGTCTCCTTTCTCTGCTTTCAGCCCTTAGTAATATTTTAAACTTTGAATGGAGATGGCTTTTGGAGCCCAAGTGTCCCTTGGAGCGTAAGCTTCATGAAGGCAGAAATTTTTGTCTGCTTCATTCATTGCTTTAATTTCTAGTGCCTGGACCAGGGTTTGGCTCTGGGATCAGTAAATATTTGTTAAGCATTGAAATTCTGACATGTGAAGACATTTCAATCACTGCTACTTGGTTACACATTCAAAGGAAAGATAACTTGTTTGATAGTCTGAGTATTGAGAATATCTTTTTAATTTTTTGATGTATCAAAAATTCAGGAAATAAATTATTATATCAGTAAATTATACAATTAGAAGAATGAATATTGGTAATTAGGTTAATGTTCTTTTAAAAACATTATTTAAAAATATTTTTAATACAGGAAATACATTATTATAGCAGTAAATTATACAATTAGTAGAATGAATTATAATTACATTAATGTTCTTTTTAAAACTTCATTTAAAAATATTTTTATTACTTAATTATTGGCGTTTTTTTCCTCAAGAGAATATTCTTTGATTTAGTTAGCTACTGAGTACTTCTAAAACTGAGATTTAAAAAAGGCTAAAATTCCAAGTTACTTTTATTTCACATGTAATTGTAGAATGCATGCACTGTAAGGGTAAGGAATTTGGGTTATTACTAGAAATATAGACTGAAATGTTTGACTTCTGAGCATTTTGAATATGATATTTATTTCAGCTAGTTTATTACTGTTTTGTAAAGTTAAATTAGTGATTCACATGACCCGATTTTATGAAGTGTTCCTTTACCCTGTGACTTTGACTAGCTTTCTTTTAACAATATTAACTTAAATGAGGTGGCTTACAGTGAAAAGTGTCGTTAATGATTCTAATTCCCCAGCCACTCAGTCTCTTCTTTGGTGTCCAGTTTCTTGTATATCTTTCTAGAAATATCCTATGCAGTAACAACTATGCTAATATATAGGTTTCTTTTTTTAAAATAAAAAATAATGAATGGTAGCACATTATACATACTATTTGTATCGTTTTGCTTTGTTTTCATTTATCGTCTTTGGACAGCATTGCATATCAGCACCCTAGTAGTCTTGCAGAGTAGTTTTTCCTCTTTAACTGTTTCCCCTATTGATAGGAATTTTGATTATTAATAATGTCTTACTATGATAATAGATCAAACAATTTTATAATGAATATCCTTATATTCACATTACTTTCTGCAAGTATCTGTCTAGGATACATTTCTAGAAGTGGGATTGTTAGAGCTAAGGCTATATGTTTAAGAGCTATTTGTATTAACTTTTATGTAAAACTTTGCCCATTTTTCTATTGTATTGTTGCTGATTTCCTACTGATTTCTATTGGGTTGTGGTTTTTTTCTCATTGATTTGTAGATGCTTTTAGATATGGGCATGACTTTGTAGTTGTTGCTATTATTTTTTGCAGTTTGCTATTTGTCTTATTTTCTTTATAATTTTTAAAAATCATTTTGAATTAAATGTTTTTTTAAGTTAATAATTCATCAAGGGTGTGTTTGTGTGTGTGTGCATGTGGCTTTTAGCTTTTGACTTACACTAATAAAGGCCTTTCCTATACCAAGATTATTTTTAAAATTCTGATTATTCTAATGCTTTTATTGTGTCTAAACTTTTAATCTCTGCATTAATTTTGCTGTAAAGAATGGGAAAAGATTTCTATTTTTTCTCATGTAACCATTTATTGAAAACCACCTATTAAATGATTGTTTTTCTTCCAGTGATACTGGATAACCTTTACAAATTTTCCATTTGATCTATTCCAGTGTATTATCTGTGAATTAGTGAGTCTTGTACCAAATACCGCATTGTTTTCATTCCTTTAACTCTATAATACATTTACATTTTTTCATTACTCCTTTTATTATCATTGTGTATATTTTTTCTTTAAACATGTTTTTTGTGTCCATTTAATCTCAATTTAAGAAATTCTTCATTGCAGCTACGGATAAATGGTGAAAAATTAGAAGAACTCTTATCTGAGAGAGCTGTGCAATTTCGGGCCATTCAACGCCGACTCTTAACAAGATTCAAAGATAAAACCCCTGCCCCTCTTCAACACCTAGACACCTTGTTAGATGGAACCTATAAGCAGGTCAGTATAATGTCAGTAACAGTTTTCTATTACTGTCTATACTTTTATTTTGTCACCTTAGAGTCATGTACCACAATATCAAGATAAGTGCTTCAAGGAACTGTGAACAGTGCACGAGCTTTAGAGTCAAAAAAACCTGGGTTCAAAGTCAAACTCTGCTGCTTTCTAATGATATGACCTGGGGTAAATTACTTAAGTGACATCAGTTTCCACACATTACCTCCCAAAGTTGTTGTGAGGATTTTTAATTGTTTATGTAACTAGAACAATGCCAAGCATGTAATATGTGCTTGATAAATAGTAGCTATTATGATAGTATTATCAGACAGTTCTTGGTATATCCCATAATTATTACCATAATTTTCTGATTGTTTTACCAAGCAAATGACTCAAACTTCTAGTATTATGTCAGTTGATATTTTGAGGTGGAATTCTTAAGCAGCATATTTCAAAAAGTTCTAGTTCAAAAGATATTTTTTCTTCTTCTTGGCTCACCTTCCATTCATAGTTTATCATTTGCATGGCTGGGGTGATCTGGCTATCACTCTTAAGGCACTGTCTCTCCAAAAACTATTCAAAATTATTACCGCTGGCTTAAAAATTAATTTTTAAATTTTAAAATAATTTTAAAAAATCATGAGAAGGCCTCTTTCTACCAGTTCTATTATGTCTTTATATATAAAATGTCTCTCCCCCGGAAAAAAAAAAAAGATAATCCAATACTACATATTCTTGCTTATAAGTGAGAGCTAAATGATGAGAACACATGGACACATAGAAGGGAACAACACCCACTGAGGTCTATTGGAGGGTGGAGGATAGGAGGAGGAAGATAATCAGGAAAAGTAACTAATGGGTACTAGGCCCAATAAGTGTGTGGTGAAATAATCTGTGCAACAAAGCCTCATGACACGAGTTTACCTGTGTAACAAACCTGCACATGTACCCCTGAACTTAAAATACAAGTTAAAACAAGCAACATTTTGGGAAAAATGTCATCCTTTTTGAAAGAATTTTCAGCTTTACTTCTAACTTTGGAGGTATAATGTCGGAAGAGTGTAACCATGTTGAGAATGTCTTCTTTTTAGCAGTGAGAAACCTAAATTTCCTCATTCATAAAATTGGAATACTACCTTCTCAATCACCTGAATGTGTTTTTGGAGGACTTGAGAAATAAACTAGGAGAAAAGAAAGGAAATTCTTATTTGTTGGATGTCTGCTGAGTCTGAAGTAAATTTTGTTTATTACTTCATTTAATACTTAGAATCATCATGTGAGGGGGACATTATTGTTTATAGAGAAAGAAACTGAAAGTGCATAGAGTTAAGAAACTTGCTCAGTGTTACACAGATATTAAACATTATATTCCAAAGTCCAGGCTTTAGAATGTCATGTGGCAATTTTACTTTAATCATTGCTGGGTGGGACATAGCCCTAATTTTCTGTAGCAAAATAATGTTCAGGGTAAAGAAAAAGGAGATGTGTGTAAACTTTTTGTACATGTTCATACATGTATATGTATATTCATAACTGTCCAATAGTCATTGTATACACACCTATTAGAAAGGTAACAAAATCTTTTGGAGAGTTCCCTCAAGTCTGAAATTATATCTGAAACTTAAGTATCAGAGGACATTTTTTTTTTTTTTGTGTGTGTGTGTGACTTTGTTGATTTCACTTATACCAAAGTTCAGTTTCTTTGCCTTCAAATGCTAATGCTTATTGGCAGAAAAGCTTTGCCAGATAAATTCTCTCTTATATTATAAAATCTTCACATAAATTTGTTAGTCAAAGCAAGACTGATTGAGTAAATGGAAATGGGAGAACTTAGACTTACCCTATGACTTGGCTTATGTTTTGGTGCTATTATATGTGCTAGGGTTTTTCTCCTCACTTTAACACTAGCCCTCTGTTGTAGCAGAGGGAAAATGTTTACTGATCTAAAAGTTGGTGTCAGATGACATGTGTGATGTAATGACTGATAGTCATTAATGTTTTGGAGAGGAAGTTGACTGATTTTTCTCTTCTCCAAAACAGAGGCTGTATTAGGCATAATTTTAAATAGAGATCCTGTGGTTTGGAGTTAGCTATTTGTTACTTATTCTGTACTTAAAACTTCCTTTTACTCTGTTTATTTGTATAGTATTGATATGTAAAAATCATTTTAAGTCACGCAGAAGTCTAAGAGCTTTTTGGTCCATGGCTTTGTAAATAAGCATGATTTTGGCTGATAACACAGAGGAATATATAATGAAACCATTCAGAGGCCCACTTTCCTCACTGTCATGGACAAGTAAAAATAATATGCTGAGAGACTGAGAAGGAGTTTTCATGGATGTGGTGATGTTGCTGGGCTTGTTTTTCATATAGCCACTTAGGAGCTAAAAGGAAATTCTTCCTCAGAAGGTAATAGAGTAAACAAGTTAGAAAGGAGGAGGACACAGAAATTTGCAATCATATGTTTGTGGATGAACGAGGGTGTTAAGTAAAAACAAAACAAAACAAAAAAACTGAGATGTTAGTGAAAAAATGGAATTTGTTTTCACCCTATGATTTTACTCTTGAATATTTAGGCAAGGAAATACATAAATACAAAAATAATACATTCATCAAGATGTTCATTTATGATTAATTACCTTTACAAGAAATTGTAACCAGCTTTCTAGTTGGAAAGTAATTAGGTTTATCATTGTACTACTATTTGATATGATGGTATTTCATATCATTATTGCACTTCATTATTTTCAAAATTGGAGTGATATAAAACATTTTATATGACTGAAAAAAGCAGATTATTAAATAGTATATAGTAAGTTACAAATAATGAAATAGATGTATCTTTAAGATACATATGCAAAAAAATTAAAAATAGTGTATGTTTGTTTTAGATGACTTTATATTTTTATGCAATTTTAAACAATATTATAATTTGATGAGTGTATGGATAGGAAGAATCAATATCATGCAAATGGCCATACTGCCCAAGGTAATTTATAGATTAATGCTATTTCCATTAAACTACTGTTGACATTCTTCACAGAATTAGAAAAATCTATTTTCTAACCAAAAAAGAGCCTGAATAGCCAAGACAATCCTAAGCAAAAAGAACAAAGCTGGAAGCCTCACCCTACCTGACTTCAAACTATCCTGCAAGGCTATAGTAACCAAAACAGCATGGTACTGGAATAAGAACACACACATAGACCAATGTAAGAGAATAGAGAACTCAGAAATAAGACTGCACACCTGCAACCATATGATCTTTGACAAACCTGAGAAAAACAATCAGTGGGAAATAATTCCCTATTTAATAAATGGTGCTGGGAGAGCTGACTAGTCATATGCAGAAGTTGAAACTGGACCTCTTCCTTACACCATACATGAAAACTAAAGATGGAGTGAACAGACAACCTATAGAATGGGAGAAAATATTTGCAGTCTCTCCATCTGACAAACGTCTAATATCTAGAGTCTACAAGTAACTAAAACAAATTTACAAGAAGAAAACAACTCCATTAAAAAGTGAGCAAAGGCCATAAACAAACACTTCTCAAAAGAAGACATACATGTGGCCAAAAAACATCCGAAGAAAGGCTCAACGTCACTGATCATTAGAGAAATGCAAATCAAAATTACAATGAAATACCATCTTACACACCAGCCAGAATGGGTATAATTAAAACATCAAAAAACAACAGATAGTGGTGAGGTTGCAGAGAAAAATAAATGCTTTTATACTGTTGGTGGGAGTATAATTTAGTTCAACCTCTTGGAAGACAGTGTGGTGATTCCTTAAAGACCTAGAGGCAGAAATACCATTTGACCAAGCAATCTCATTACTGGGCATATACCCAAAGGAATAGAAATCTTCTATTATGAAGATACATGCATGCATATGTTCATTGCAGTACTATTCACATTAGCAAAGGCATGGAATGAACCCAAATGCCCATTAACGATAGAGTAAATAAAGAAAATGTGGTACATATACATCACAGAATACTACGCAAAGGACATTCCTGTATGTAAACTACTATGCAGGAATGTCTTTTGCAGGGTCATGGATGGAGTTGGAAGCTACTATCCTGAGCAAACTAATGCAGGAACAGAAAACCAAACACTGCATGTCCTCACTTATAAGTGGAAGCTGAATGATGAGAACACCTGGACACATTGTAAAGGGAAACTACACACACTGAGACCCATGTGGGTGGGGCCAGGGGAGGGAGAGCATCAGGAAGAATAGCTAATGGGTGCTGGGCTTAATACCTCGGTGATGGGTTGGTCTGTGCAACAAACCACTGTGGCACATGTTCACGTATGTGACATGTACATCCTGCACATGTACCCTTGAACTTAAAATAATAGTTGAAGGAAAAAAATAATAAAAACTAAAAAAAATTGATAAACATAAAAATAACTTTTTCACAACCATATGAATGCATTAATATACTGAATTGTACACTTGAAAATAGTCAAGGTGGTAAATTTTATATTATGTGTATTTTACCACATGTAAAACCTCAGATAACAATTTTTTGAAAACTGGGATACAGGCGTGGAACTCCTGTTCTTCATTGGTATTTCTGTGGGAGCTATTTTCTCATTCCTGTCTATACCCTATGAACTTGTTTCTCTGGTCTCAGAATGTTTAGTTTTTTGAAGTATTCCATATATGAGTTAGTTTATTCCTGAAGCACTTAGATAACTGAATGGTATGCTTGAATGAATATAAAGGTAGATGTTCTCTTGCTCTGTCTGACCCTTGCTAGTTTCTCAGCCAAACAAAAACAATATACAAAGCTCTTTCAAAAATTTTTAAAATTTTCTTCATCTGGCTCAGAGTAATCTCCAAAGAGTGTTTGTTGCAAATACATCCCTGATATATTTATTATCTGTGTCTAGCTGTAGAGTCTAGCCAACACTGTCTGACAGAAATTTGTTCAAGTCACAAATGTGAGCCACATATATTATTTTTAATTTCCTAGAAGATTAAAAGA